TCACCAGAGACAGAGTGGGGAGCAGAACAGGCAGATGGATGAAGTACACTGCTGAGGGGAGCAGTGGGCGGGTCAGGAGAGATCTGCCGCGCCATGTGGGGATCGAAATCATGCGGACTCATGTGGAAGTGGCTTAAGCTTCTTAGTACAGTGCTTTAACCCACTGCGCCACCAGGGAGAGCTGGTATTTAACTCTTTTTGAAGTAACTGTGAATGAAATTTGTTTTCTTAGTTTCTGTTTCTTCTTATTCATTATTTATATGTAAAAATACAACTGATTTTTGTATGTTGATTTTGTAACCTGCCACACTCTGGTATTCATTTATTGTTTCTAACAAGTTTTTGGTGTTTTATATATATTTGTTTGAAATTAATGATAGTTCCACTTCTTTTTTTCCTACCTGGATTCCTTTTATTTCCTGCTTTTGTCTGGCTGTTCTAACCAAAACTTCTAATACTGAACTAAACAGAGAAGGGAACACAGGATATCCGCCTGTTGTTCCCGACCTCAGATAAAAGGGTAGTAGCAGCTGCCAACCGTTGCTGAGTCCCATGCACGCAGGCCCTGAGTGTGAAGCCACCAAGCTATAACCAGTGAGCTGGTTGCCGGGAGCGTCTTCTGGGCTGTCTTGAGTCACTTTCCTGCCAGGACCTTTTCCTCCTCTTACAAACACATCCCATCTGCCTCGAGTGTTCTCATGTCACCTCCCTCTTTCAACCTAACCCTTGAGACTCACAAAATGCTGCTCAGGTCACGTGTGATTGCACTATTGGGTCCACCATTCACCGAGCAAATGATTATCTTATAAAGGACTACTCTGGGCCCTCCCTGGTAGAGCAGAGGTTAAAGTCTCAACGCTATCAGCTATCTCCAGCCAGTACACATGAATTTGGCGCGTGAGTTCTCTCCCAGCCAGGCACAGCAGACCTCTCCTGTCTCACCCTCTGCTCCCCTCAGGAGTGTATTTCAAGAGCTCTGCCTGTTCTGCTCATCACTCTGTCTCTGGTGAATCCTCTCACCCCCCACACCTCTGGCCTACAACCTAGTTCTTGTATGTATAAATAAAAATAAACCTAAAATTAAAAAATAAATAAAAGTGTTAGTTTGGTCAGGGCCTACCCAGTAGCCACCTGGGCAAACCTCAGCAAGACATCAGTTACCTCTGCTCCGTCCTTAGTTGCCTGTTCCACATGCCACATTAAACACACTACAGCAGGATGGGAAAGCCCTATCAGCGCCAGCCCAGGCATCTTAGAACCCAAGTGACCACTCATTTGGGAAGGCAGGCACATCTGGAGGCTGGTGGGCAGCATTGTGAAAGGCTGATGGATATCAGGGACAGGCCAGCTCTCCTTTCTTAGGCCACAGCTGGGTGCCTGGGAGCTGAGGCAGGCACATGTTCACCTCCAGCCCCACAGAAGGGAAAAAGAGCCTGGAGAGGCTGTCTAGCCAGAGGGACAAATGCCATGGGTGGTAGGGGACATGGAGAGAAAGTTCCACACTGACAGGATCATAAACCAGAATGAAGAGAGTGGGGGAGGAGGCAGAAATCGAATGTAGACTTTCTAAGGTACAGTCATTTATGTTTGAGGGAGACCACATCTGAGATTGTATCACCACAAAGACAGAGAGGGAGGGAGGGAAAGGTCCCTGCAGCACTTGAGCCCTGTGATCAAAGGAGAGAAGATAAGAAGGAAGGAGGCTTCCCTTAGCTCTGATCTGGCAGCCTCCACACAGGCATCATTAACGGGAATTTCCGCCCATGCCCTCCCCACCCCCCAACATGAGGTGAAGCACCATAACACTGATCCCCGCAGGTGGTGTGTCTCCATTTCAAAAATTAACCCAAGCACGCTCCTCCTCCTGCCCTAGGTTAAGGCATCCTGACATAATACATCAGCAACAGACTTGTTACCAAGATCTTCTTGGGGCCTGAGATCTGCTTCTGAGTTTTACATAGTCCCTTCTCTCCCCCCGCCCCCGCCCCCCATTTCCTACCCCCCAACACACACTTTTCTGTTTTAACTATGTTAAAATGGAATCCAAGTCTAGTCACCTGGCTTCTAGCCTCAGATTCCCCCACTGCACGGCTGCATGACCTG